ACAAATTAATTTCCACGTGGCGCGATTTGATTGGACACAATTTTTATGTATCTACACCTGCATAGCGGCTCGCCATCGAGGATCAGTCACGGCATCAGCAAAAGTGCGAGGCTCAGAAGCAGAGGCGACAGCGGCAAAAAAAACTCGATGAGCTGGAGAGAATGAATCACAAAAAACATAATGTGCTATGGGATAAGGTGTACCGGAGGATGGAGAAGACTGGGGAGAAGTAGTGGGGGGTTCATTCGAAGCCCGGACATTGTCAACCACAAAGTCCTTCAGCCGAGTGGAAGGAACTTTAGTCCGATGACCACGACCCAAGGGCTCCACTGGAAGAGGGGGAGGGGTAGTGGTAACGGAACCCCCTCTATCGTCAGACGTGTCCATATCAATAGCAGAAGACTCAGTATTAGGAGAAACATGAGGCATAGGGACAATCGGAAGATCCTCATCATCATTCGGCGCAGAAAAAACGGGCACAACAAGAGGCAGTGGCAAAGAATCTGGCTCAGACGAGTCTGACTGGTATGAGAATTCAGCCTCAAGAAACGCCACATCACGAGAGACAAAGAAAATCTGACGATCCAAATCATACAAACTCCACCCTTTTTTGCCAAAAGGATAACCAACAAATAGGCAACAACGACTTCGAGCAGCAAACTTGTCACCATTACGATCTTGGTTATGAGCGTAACAAAGGCAACCAAAAACCCGCAAATGAGACAAAGAATGAGCTGAACCATAAAGAATCTCATATGGAGTTTTACCATGTAATACCGAGGAAGGAGTCCGATTTATCAGATAGACCGCAGTCAAAACACAATGACCCCAAAAAGGAAGAGGCAGATGAGCCTGAAAACGCAAAGCACGAGCTATATTAAGAATATGCTGATGTTTGCGTTCTACACGACCATTCTGTTGAGGAGTGCCTACACAAGAAGTCTCATGCACAATCCCTTGACGAAGAAAATAGGAGGCCAAACACATTGAACTCACTTCCATTATCACTACGAACAACACGCACCAATTTATCAAATTGTCGCTTAATCATAGAAAAAAAATTCAGCAATGTGGAAGCAACCTTTGTCTTATCATTCAATATATAAACCCATGTTCCACGAGAACAATCATCCACAATAGTAAAAAAATATCGTGCACCACTGAAGGACGGAACACGATACGGACCCCACAAATCACAATGAATCAAATGAAAAATACCATGACTAACAGTCTGACTGAGTGGAAAACTACGACGATGTTGTTTAGCACGAAAACAAGCATCACACGATCTATGCAAATTATGAGAACTAGAATCAATAATAGGAACCTGGGACAATACTTGAGCAGATGGATGACCCAAACGTTGATGCCACACATCGACAGAAACCTTCTGAACAAAAGAAACTGTCGTAGAAACAGTCCCTCGAAAGAAGTAGAGACCCCCTAACTGCTCACCCGCGCCAATCACCTTACGCGAAGTGCGGTCTTGAATAACACAAAATTTGTTACTGAATTGAGCGATGCAGTCGGAATGATCCAGCAATTGATATAATGAAATCAAGCTGCATCGAAGGCTGAGAACGTATAAAACATCATAAAGAGTGATATGAGATCCCAAATAAACAGTCCCAGCCTTGCTAGCCATAGTCAAGGAACCATTAGGCAATTGAACAGGGCGGGCGGGAATATCCCGAACATCGGAAATAAACTCCAAGAATCCTGTCATATGATGAGTTGCCCCACAGTCGTACATCCAATCAAATAAACGACGCGTACTAGACAAGTGATTATTTTGTTTAGCAGAATTAACCAACGACACAAAGTGAGACCATTGTTCATCGGTTAAACTGCCAAGCGCAAGACGATCAGAATCACTCAAAACTCCACAAGCAGTGGAAGAACCAACAAAACCGACAATAAATGAATCACCGATACCACTGCAGGACACTACATTTGCAAGAGCACCACTCTCGTTGCGAGCTTCACCGCGGAGGCCACCACTAGAATTACAACCATGACCACCACTAGAACCAAACCATTTCGGATATCCAATAATATCAAAGCAAGTAGCGGCTAAATGACCCGTTCGACCGCAATTAGAACACTTGGGACGGCTATCTTCGGCCGCACTTGTCGAAGAATATGCCATGGATGTTGACGAAGTTGTTCGTAACTGGGCAGAATGCCTTTTTTTTTTTTTAAACACGTTGGTTTTACGAGAAATAACAACAAAATTGTTGGCCGCAATATTTGACTTTTTTTTTAAACTCAATCAACAGAGTATGAATTGAAGAGAGGTGGCCACAATCAGACTCAATTTTGAGAAATGAAATTGTGACAAGAATAATTTTTTTTTTTTTTTTCGATCTAAGGTACGGGAAAAAAAATTTGACAGACAATTTTTGCTATCAGAAAAAATCAGTCTCTGATACCATGATACAAGAGAGACAACACAAATTTTGGGAATAAAATCATCTCAATCGGATGATACAATTCTCTATTAACCATGAATATATACACAAATATACACAATAACTGAAAGGATGGTCTGTGGGAAATACAACATAACCCAATAGGATCTAGATGTGGAGTTGGCGTTGCAACATTAATATCCAGAGAAACATGCCTGAGAATCGGTAAGTTGTTCAATAAGACCCTGAATACTTTTTGTGTTTGAATCTTACAGTGTTTGAGGTGCGACGGTTTAGATAGTCTGGGTAAATTATCATTTTAAGGTACGAATATTAAACTTGGTGAAGAAAATCACTGAGTGAGTTCTAAGGGTTAGTTCGATGCTACCCGTAAGGGTAGAGCCCGCTTTCACTGTTCTCCTATAGAATGAAGCCACGTGGTCCACTTTTGTTTTTACATTTCAACTAGTACAGATCCCGTGCGATGCACGGGGTGCACAAAAGTCATTTATCAAGTCTTATAATTATATAAATGAATAAAGAAAAATGTACAGGATTTATATAGTACGTGACATGTAATATGCAAAAATGTAAACACCGGTGATGCACGGAGTGCACAATTTTAAGGTCATTTATTAGTACAGAGTCCGTGCGATGCACGGGGTGCACAATTTTCTAGTATGTGTAATACAAATACATACTGTATGCACGGGACAGAAACACTAAATGAGTTATTTCCACAGAGCTTGCCCGTTAAGTAGCTCCTGAACACGGGTGCACAATTTGTAGTACATACCATAAATTCAGAACAGATTTCCATACAATTAGATAATAAATAAAACCTTTTTTTTAGTAAAGATTTTACGTACTTTTTTATTTCCATCCAATTTTGTAGGATGCATTAAATATTGATTAGATTTTATATGTAAAATAAAATAAAAAATAATTGGAATAGTTTTACGTGTTGCAATATTTTATATTTAAAAAAATTAAATAATTATTTTACGTATTGCATACCAAAATTTTAGGAACTACATGAATATTCCAAAATTAATATTGCATACCCAATATTTTAGGAACTAATTAAATGCTAATTTGATTTGCATACCAAAAATATTAGATGCATTAATTAAATGTTTGATAAAAATAACAAATCATTAATTAGGGTTGACTACTCTACATACTACATTTAGTAAATAGTATAGCTTTTAATATAAGTATAGATTATATAAATATTATGATATATATAAATTACTTAAGTAATTAGTGTATACGTAATTAGTACGAATCCCGTGCGATGCACGGGTAAGAATTATTCATTAATATATATAAATTGAAAATGCTCAGTAAATAATATTTATAAATTTAAAATATGAAATCTATATGCAATACAATTTACGTATATTAATTTATTGAATATTATATGAAAAATTTAAATTGTGCAAAATTACATAAAACATGTCTATTAAAAATTAATTTCAAAATATTTCTTATTTTAAAAGTTTTATTCAAAAGTACGATGACTACAATGTGATTCCATAAGATAATTATTTTGGTAAACTTGTGTAATATATTTAAAAATCTATGTGACTACTTGTGTGATTCCTTAAAATCTATATGACTACTTTTGTTTTATGATTTAATTAGTATAATTTTATTTAAACGTAAGAGACAACATAATATGGAATTATTATACACTAACAATTATATTACATGATTAATTCACATATATGGATTTTTTATCCGATATATATGGTATGGTTCTTAGTTATATAAATAAGGAAATGAATCAGTGTGATTGGATAAAAATATTTTGAATTTTTGGATTTCAAACTCAAATAAAAGCTTGATTATTCAAAAAAGAAAAATCCAAATTCAGTAATTTCTCATTAGTTAGGCAGAAATTTAAGTACTATTTTAAATAAATTGTTTATCGTTTTATATATTAATAAATAGATTGATAAAATAAAAGATATTGATATAATACAACATTCCACTAACTAATGTGAATAATTAAGAACTCAACAAAGTACAATCAACACGGAATAGCCTAATTTTCCTTAAGAAATCCCTAAACCAAAACGACAAACCAAAAACGCGTTGCCTCTCTCATATTGAACTCAAATTATTGTCATTAATTTCATATGTACAAAACATTGAGAGGTAAAATAGAATGAATCTCTTCATCTATTTCATATTAGACCATCTCATACATGTTGCGATGGGCTTAAGCTTGTGTACCCAATTCTATGATACTCAACCTTGAATTGACAACACCATAACCTTGAAAGATGTATAATAAATGCTCTGTGGGGGAATTAAATATAAAATAAGCCCACAATATTTCAATATGAAACAAACTCATGTACCAACTTAGACAAAATGCAATGACCTACCAATCTGCAGAAAACATTGGATCTTACAGAGAAGACAAAAATTCAACAACATAGTCAAAGATATGAGGAGAAAACTTTCAGAACTTCCAAATAAACGGACTTCTTGAAATCCACTGCCTGCAAAGCAATATAT